AATTATGGTATTTTGTTTTATAAGGTTCAGACAAAGTTCATACAGGTACCAGAAAAGGGCATTTTGTTTAACTGTAGCAAAATTTTGGAATATTCATTTTTGACCTTTAACCTTGATTTAACGAAAATTGCACCGTACGAATTATTGACCGGGCAAAACAGAAAGTACAGAAAACAAGCTTTCGAATGATATATAATATAGCCGTATGTTAGGTGGGTGCATTAAAGTCGTTAACTAAGCGTCTTTTTGAAAAATGTCACTCGCTTATATGTAGTATCGATGTGATAATTAATGTACTTAACTATTTTCAATTGGAATCTTATGCCCAGAGGAAAGAGGTATTAAAATAAACAATCGTTTATGCCTTTATGCGTACGATAATAGCATTGTTTGGTCTTAATTTGATATCTCTTGGTGTATTTAAGGCTTGACAAAATTTATAAGCTAATGTACAATCAGCGCTGCTTGGAGCAGCAACACTATGCGAATTAACACTACACCATAAAGCTACGTGTAGCAAGTTGTAAGTATCTTATTAAGATTTTCTTTTTATCTATCTGAAAGCAGGAGTTGTTGGACTGACGAATTGGTATACCTTATAGGACAACTGAAAACGATTTCTTATTGGAGTAAAAGATACCAGTTTTGCCTCGGATGAAACGTGTGTTTCTATGATAAAATGGTTAACATTTACCTCGAAATCAAGGAAAGTGTCCTTTGTTATAAATTTGGCCGTTTTCTCAATTCAAGTTTTCTCATTTTTCATGTCGGGACCTATTATAGCCGACTATACAGTATGGGGTTTTCCCATTGTTGAAGGCCGTACGTTTGCCTATAATTGTTTACATCCACTTCATTTGAACTTTGGCGGATAGTTGTTTCATTGGCAATCAGACCACATCTCCTTATTTCTATATTTACCTACGAAACCATAAATGATGAAACACACTTTATTATATACTGTCAAAATAACTAAAAAATAGGAATAAATCTGTTTTATAAATATTACTAAAGAAAATCCTTTTGCTTTAATATATTAATCAGAGACATATACGATATTTCTCTGCTATAATTTCGGTGTCATGATTTTCAGACACGGGTCTTGTATTGGTTATTTTTGTATTCATATATTTTTGATGTTTGTCATAAATATGTATTTAATTTTGGGCATGATTCAGTCAGATGTGGAAACATTTAGGCCTCCATCTGATGTAGGCAATACCATGGAAGTATATATTGTCAATATAATACTTCCATGGTAATAAACTTATCTTAACCAATCAATAATCATAGTTGGGGGATCACCAGTAAAGTCTTAGTCAAGTGGAAGACGGCTCTTATCTTAATGCTTTGATTGAATTTAGAACCAGTGTACGAAGTGAATTTCCGTAGTGTAAAGGTGTCAGACCACCAATTAAAAATCCCTATCTATTCAACCAAATTTTGCAAATTTCACAGCTTTCTAAATATTTTACCATATAAAGCTTAACTTCATAGAAACCAGGTATATCCTGAATTGCACATGTATCATCTTTCTACATGCCAATTTTCAACCTATGTTTAAAGTCTTGTAAGGATATACTATATATACTGCTAAAAATAACCCCTGGTTAAATTCTGGAAATCTTAAATAGAGTTGGTGAATTGGTGGTCTGACACCTAAACAACATTCCGAAAAAAAGAGAACATTTTAGAAAATTGCTTTTGTTTCTTTTAACTACAAATAGAAAATACAGAAGTTATCCTTGCACCACTACCAAACGCAATAATTGAGATGACGAGAAGATGTCATGTCGATTTTCTAAAAAGAAAAAAAAGTTTGGCATATTCGATCCGATTAATAACGAATATTATCCATCATGATTCAAAAACATCAGTTAACAAAATTGGGTCTCGTTCATCTTTTTTAAGAAGGTTTATTCTACCTTATACATGTATCATAAATTTTGCATACAGGTAGAAATTAATGTCCTGTCAAGGATTTTTCGGCAGTCTATGGCGACTTTTAGTCTATTTGTGGTTGAATATTTTAATTTATCACTCGCTTGATTAAAGAATGGGCGAAGTTTGATTGATTGATTGATTGATTGGTGTTTAACGCGACTTTTAGCACTATTTTGCTATTTCGTGGCGGTCAGTTTGTTTTGTTGGAGGAAGCCGGAGAGAACCACCGACCTTCGGTAGGAAAACTGACAATCCTAGTCAATTACGAATGGAGTCAAACGAACTTCCACGTGCGGGATTCGAACTCACAACATCAGTGTTGACAGGAATTATAGTGATATAGTAATTCGACTACTTAGACCACTCGGCCACCGAGGCCCAATGAGAAGAGGTGAAGGTTATTAAACTATGCATTCAGGTGAACAGTATCTACTTGAACTTGCATTGTTTGAACATGCTCTTGATACTGTTTTTCCAGAATGCAATCGAATGAAGTACAAAGAAATAATATCAGACAACTTTTTCGTATTTGATGTAATTATATTCCTATTAATATTTAATTTTGATTAATCTATTGTAGATGTTCATAGGATTTTTCCAAATTTTCTCTGTTCTCATGAAATATATGGTTAGCCACAAGCGGTTGGGACCAGCCGATTTCAGAATTGAGAGTGTCTGCGAAAAAACCTAGCAATAAAAAAGAAATCTTAGAAGTGATAGATTTGGAGAATCACGACTGGGATCTTCAAGGCCAAGAAACCAATTTGAGACCATGTCTAGCGAGAGAAAAAAATTATTCGCCACCTGGCAACAGGCTTGCCTGCGGAATATATTATGACAATCATTTATATCGACCATTTTAATGTATATATATTATATTTAATTACAACTAAATTTTGTAGTTTTTGTTTCAGTTATTGAAACCGTCCAGCTTATTAATAGAAAGTACTTAATACCAGTGCTAAACATTACTAACATTCGGGACATAATGAGTATCAGTACAACATCATTTGCTGGTAGAGGTTAACCTTATATCAATTATACTAAACTCAAATCAAAAGAAATATAAAAGAAATTCCTTAGAATATTCCAAGTTATTGTTTTCTTTTCTTGCAGGCTAAGAATGAAAAAAAAATGACTATCATGATTCTCTTGGTTACTAACTTCTTTCGCGTTTTTGTCCTTTTATTTAAGGCTGAAAGGTTGACTTTAATCAAGTTAATGAAATTACCACTACAAGATTCAATTGGTTGGTCACTTTTGTCATTGATCTTGCTCCTTTCTATCACTACACGATCCAATTGGTTACTTTTGTCATTGATCTCGCTCCTTTCGAACACTATACAAGATCCAATTGGTTGGTCACTTTTATCATTGATCTTGCTCCTTCCGAAGATTTTGTTAACCAATTACCAAAGGACATTGCAGTCATTTTTATTAGTTCAAAGAGTTTCTGAATTCTACACTAAGCCAGGTTATGAGATGTGTTTTAGGAGTTAATCAGTCTAAAAGAAGAATACAGATGGCTTACTGGAATGTAAACCATTCTAAGTGGCCTTAAAGAATACGATAAATTGCAACACAGAAATAAGCGTGCAGGTCTTCCATTCGTAGGTCGTATTGTGAGTTTTCTCTTTGGTCCAGTTTCGAGCAAAGATTTACGCGCTATAAATAACAATATACGAGTTTGGTAGAAAAAAACGAATTTCGCATGTCTTAAGTGAAAGTCTCACAATCATTTCATAAGACTTTTCGAAAGTTTAACATTGATAAAACCCGCCACATTTTTTACCCTGCAAGAGCTTGTAATTGAGTTGTTGTCGATGGTTGTTGTCTTTCATATTTTATTTTCGTTAATTGTTTTGTACATACATCCGGCCATTGTTTTTTTCTCTTTTAAACTGTTTTACGCATTTTGTTATGCCACGGTCCTTTATAGCTTACTATACAGTATATGGCTTTGCTCATTATTGAAGACTGTACGTTGACCTAATGTTGCTCATATTTTCTGTAGTGAATTGTTGTCTCATTGGCATTTGTACATCTCCTTATATTTCTAAAGTTACCAAAAAGATTTAAAAATAGATAACATACAGGTTTTGGTATATTGAATTCACCAATTTAACCATTTATAACCTATTGAGGAAGACTTTGGACCACCCGATTGGGCTCATGTACTAGTATTATAATTTATTTTGTATTCGCCTAAAGGTCTAAGAATATGTGTTTAGCCAAACGTGGCCTTGGAAGAGGGTTCAAATAGTCACAAGATACCTAGGTGGCAATAAAGTGGCGTCAAAAAAAGTTGAGGGCGATGAAACCGCATCAAAAGATAGTAAAACAGCATATGCGTCTACTGATATACATGAGTTTCCCGGCATGCAAATCAAAACTCAGTCAAAACGGCACAATTGGCATGCAGTAGCGGATCGAAGGGGAGGGGGGGAGGGGGGGTAAGAGGGCGATTCCCCCTTTGATCGTCCCCCGAAAACAAATTCATGTTTTTCACGGTATATGTAAATTTTCAGCACAAAATTGCCCAAACAATCTATATATTCAATTTTCGGGAATTACGCCACCGTTGTCAAAAATCCTGAATCCGCCCCTAATCGGGAAAAGGACAAAATCAGTAAATTTACAGATCAGACAACTGCTCTGGTGTTTAAAAATCTAAAGATTACAATAGGTCAAAGCCACGTTCCCATCCTATTTTCCTCGATTATGACAACCTCATATACGACTAAGTTATTCAGTCAAATTCAACTTTCAGTGATCAACGCCACAGTTGCCACTAGTGGAGCAGGATCTACCTTTGGTCATGGTGTTGTCAGTTTTTCTTTAAGTAATGACTTTTAATTGTGCCGTGATTGAGACGGGAAAATCTATTATCGATACTTCAACGCGAAAAGACGCCAAATCATAAACGACTTATAATTACCGAGAGCGGATTTTTTTTTAAACATTGATTTAACAAAAACTAGACATAAATTGTGATGTATGTGGAAAACACATCGAAATCTTAAAAGTCCGTATGGCTTCTACAAGCGCAAAAATAATACTAGAAAGAAATTGTATTTAAGAAGTGTTAATACAATCTACCATGGTTATTGAAAAATTCTAACGAAATTGAATTCTCTACTGAATTTTCAATATGGAGTATCGGAAAAAGGGTCTTTCAACATCAACTTAGCAAGAAATGTCTCGTTTAGCTAGTTGGGTCATTTTCCTAAAAGTCATATTTATCCTGACATTCATTAACCTTTTTCTTTGTGGTAATGAGTGATACCAAAAAGTATTAGTTGGATTGTTCATCATAAGTAAACTTCCATGTTGTAGCTCTACTGTTATTGAATCAATTTTTCGCTTTGCATGTTTGCCCCTGGAGTCTGCATGTCTAAAAACAAAGTCACGTGGCTGACCGAGTGAAAGGGAGGCTATAGGATGTCCTGGTACCAAGTCATCTTCATCGTCCCTGTGTTCTCCCATATGATCATGACCATCTTTGTATCTGAGATATAATAATATGAATGTGTTTCAGAAATCTACATAATGTAAAATGATACACAGTGATTGTAAAATTTCAGTTGATAAAATATGTACATAATATGAAAACTAAACTTTGAACTCCCTCAAGAGTAGTTGACTATAGACGACTTAAGTTGTTTCTGTCAAATGGTCTTTTTTCCAGATCGTTTTGATGTCCCTAAACATTTATTTCACGGTATTTGATTATTTCAGAAACATATCATGCGACTAAAATAAGTATCATTTATTTATTTTAATCTTTTTAACTCTTGTGTATATCAAATTTATATCATTAAGAAAACCCAAAAGCTCGCTTGTTTTTGTTCCTGTTTTTATGCCCCGCTTACGATTGTTACTTTATGTTTTCCGGTGTGTATAATTTCATTATCGACTATGTAGCGTCCTCTAATGATAGGGCAGGGCGAAACAGTATGCAGTTCGCTTTGAAACTTGGTCAACTAAAAAACCAATTTTAGGAATATGTACCTGTTGATGAGAACAAAGTTGAATTCATGTTTTGTTACTTCACTTATTTTATCTCGGATTTCTTTCAGAAATGGTATCCATGGTCGTGCAGGAACAATTGTGCTGGAAAACTTGTATGATAAACCAGCATCTCCATATGCAACCTTAAATCATATAGGAAACAAATTAACAAATAAATAAATGGTTTCAAAAATCAACATGTACGCTTGTCAATGTACTATATTTGTTCCGCCTAACAAACGTTCCACTGGAAGCTTTGTTATAAACAATGTCATAACATCTGTTCCTGTTGGAACAAATATTCTATACCATTCAATCCGTTAGGAAAATATACTGTAATATTTATTCCAGTGGAAATAATATTCCAGAATATTTTTTTTTCCATTTGGAACTTCTTATACTATAAAGGATCTTCTTTTTCCTGGCAATCTTTAATAACGCATTTGTGAAAGATTATTTATCCGAATGAACCGAAGAAAAAGAAGATACTAACAGGGCAACAAATAACACAAGTCCAATAAAACAACCAACAGCATGGTCCAGAAGAAAAAAACGACAAAAATTCAAACTGCAGTCCACAAAACATGACAGAAATCCAAAGATTGAGCAACAGGAACCCCACAAAAAAACGCATTTGAACTTAGGAGCATCAAAGCAACAAGAGCGGGATATCTGGATTTTGTCTTTCTATTAAAAAATTACACACATCTTCTATATATATATACTGAGTTTCAATAGAAACGCAACCCTACAATCCTTTTCAAACTGTAGGAGCTTCTTTGCAAGTTGACCAATCGTTATATGATTTTAAAGACGTCTCAGGATATGCACACACAACTTTTCCAGCAATTTTCAGAGTTTTTCGAGTTTTATATTTTAACGTTATTCCTCATTCATGTCATTTTTATCCAAAAAATTGAAACTTACACTTTTAATGGCAAATTTCAACCATAATGAACCCCCTAAGCACAGATTATCAAAATATAATGCAGATTAATAATTTTTCGTTTGCCGCGATGATTTGAATGGAAATTTGTGAATTTGATTTTCACTCTAACGGGTATGATGGGACTAATCGGAAATTTCTGAACTGAAAAAAGTCTACACGAGACCAGTTACATGTAACCAAATGTTTAAGGAATGCATTGAAGAGACATTTTAGTATTGTTATTTTAAAAGGCAGTCAAAATCATGGATATTATAAAATCACTAATCAGTTCAGTGATTACACAAAACTCCTGAAATTTTAGGGATTTTACAAATTTACTGTAACGTATATATTTGTTTGGCCTAAGGTCTTATTTAAAAAAAACATCACCAACAAGGTAAATAACTGATACTTCAGTGAATTAATAGACAGTGGCAACTTGTCAGATATCTTAATATAATTTTAAAATGCGGAAAGGAGTTAGTCCTGGCCATGGTTTATGATTGTGTATTCCATAAGTTGTATTCCAATAAATGGTCGACAGTGTCTATAGCGACAACGACACGGCTAATCCTATGCGATAATTAAATTTATTATATACTCGTAGTAAATACAGATAAATTGTATGTGTAATACAGTCATTGGCAAGCGTGCTGTATCAGCCACCCGTGATGATATCGATATCAGCACGGTTGCAAAGGCTTTAACACACCTTTAATCTGTATGACGTCACGTCATCGATTGCAGTCACTGTTGCAAAGGCTTTATCAAACCCCTAACTTGTATGACGTCATGTCAAACCTCTAACTGTATGACGTCATTTCAAATTCCCTTATATGTATGACGTCATGTCACATAAAAACATCTACGTGAGGTACATAGAGAATATCATATGGCTTTTTCAATATCACACCTGTATCAACCCGAGACACCAATATAATCCCAAGAGCTCTGCTCTACGTATAGATTCTACCACTGCATCGAGTGTGATACGATATTTATCCACTCGAGACAGTTAAATTTTCAAATTTAAAACGCGAGGCTCGCCGAGCGTTTTAAATATTTAAAGTTTAACTGTCGAGAGTGGATAAATATCGTATTACACGAGATTTGGTGGTGGAATGTGTTTCTCTAATGATCTTCAAACAATACGCAGGCAAATTTATTCCTTCTTTTCGAATGATCTGCAAAAAGATGTGTTCTTTCTATGTGACGTCATCAGGCATGGTCGCCTATTTTCATGCCGACACAATAGGAAATTCAGAGAAAAGCAAGAAAATTCGACGTCATAATCGGATTTTAACCAATGAAAAACTGAGATCAAACGAACCACACGTTGATTAAATTTTTTTTATACAATGGGTGCAGAAAGGGATAAATTGACGAAGAATTAGAGAAACTTTATTATATACATATACCTCACGTAGATGTTTTTTATTTGACATGACGTCATACAGGTAAGGTTTGAATTGACGTCATACAGATTATAGGTTTGGCATGACGTCATACAGATTAGGGGTTTGATAAAGCCTTTGCAACAGTGACTGCAATCGATGACGTGACGTTATACAGATTAAAGGTGTAATAAAGCCTTTGCAACCGTGCTGATATCGATATCATCACGGGTGGCTGATACAGCACGCTTGTCAATGATTGTATTACACATACAATTTATCTGTATTTACTACTAAGTATATAATAAATGTATATAATAAAGTGTATATGATATGGCTTTTTCAATATCACACACCGTATCAACCCTCAACCAATATAATCCCTCGAGCAGAGCTCTTGGGATTATATTGGTGTCTCGGGTTGATACGGATGTGATATTGAAAAAGCCATATGATATTCTCTATGAACATCCTTCTGAATATTAAAGATAGTTTTTGAAAAAAAAACCAAAGAAACTAAATGGGCAACTTTTGTAAATATTGAAAAAAATTGTCGAGTTCTTATAATGTTCAATAAGAAAATAACGGGGTATTAAATAAATAAGAGCTGTGAATTTTTATCAATAGAAACAATAGTTTTATGAGATGGCTTCAATATCTGTTTTAGCACTGTGTGCTTGTATTATATGTCTCTGGTGGAAGTAATAACATTTAATAGCCTATGTAACTGAATTGACAAACTAGTAACTCATAGAATTATCTCCCATCTGACATACCTGTTTTCGTGGAATATCATGCCATTTACCAAACACTTTCACCTTTGCTAACTGGCCTGTATTGTATTCCAAAAGTTCAGAACATTTGATCAACAGCTCATCTGCCTCTTTCTTGTTATACAACACAGTATAATCACAATCCAAATTCTCACCCGAAAGCTTTCGCCACTTCAAATTGTTTAATTTAGCGAGTTTGTATATTTCTTCGCTGTCTTTTTCACTATCGTCCCTCTTACGTTTTTTCCGCTGAACGAAAGCATCCATAAAGATAAAGTAACGAATTTATGAGCAATATTCAAACGATAAAAACACCTTGCATAATCATCACAAAAGGCGGAAAACCGAAAGTAGACACACGGTTGTTTCCCTTGAAATGTTTTTTTGGCGCAAAAATTTGATCGAAGTAAAGGTCTCGAAGATTAAGATCTGTCCATTTTTCGGAACGATTTGAATATTTCATAGGGGTTTTGACTACCAGACTTAGGAGCGATTAGGTTGTTCTCAATATTTTAGTTACATTTATGTCTTATTTTATTTACCAATGCATAATTGTCGATGCATCCGATCTATGGAAGGGAAAATCCGCCATAACTATACCAGAGATATATATATATATATATATATATATATAGTGTCTAAAAATAGCAACAATCAACATTCAATCTATCTAGGCGTGGATCAGTTTGTAAATAAACTGATGCAGTTACTACATTAAATTATATAAGTGCCTAAGAATGTAACTTTAACACACTAATGAGTGTCATAAAATTAGTTGTTATATTTTATATTATTCACGCAATATTTCGCTAAACAAATTAGCTTCATCAGGCGTGTGCATATCTCAAGGTGAAATCGGATGCATGACAAAAAAATATTTTTGTAGCTTGAACTACACAAAATTTGAGTAAAAGTTTAACAAAATTTATTGATGTTCTATAAAAAAGATATGTTTGTAAATTCTCAGAAAAATATTTTTGCCGCTTATTGTTAGCTTGAACTACACAAAATTTGAGTAAAAGTTTAACAAAATTTATTGATGTTCTATAAAAAATATATGTTTGTAAATTGTCTAGAAAATTTTGTTTGCCGCTTATTGTACATAGCAATTTAAATCAAAACAAATAGTTGTTTTAGTTAAATTAAATGAAGTTTAGGATTTTGTAGTTCAAGCTAACAATAAGCGGCAAAAATATTTTTATAGACAATTTACAAACATATAATTTTTATAGAACATCAATAAATTTTGTTAAACTTTTCATAGGTTTGAACGTTGTTTTCAATTTAGACTTTTATATTTTTTCGTTTGGGCTTGTATTATATTTGCCTTGGGGTTTATATGATCCGTTCATCCTATTTTGACTCTTTCAAAATTCAAGAGTCTATCCTAAATTGAGGTAAATTATAATGGGGGGGGGGGGGGGGGGGGGGGTTATGGTTTTATCATAAAAAAATATTCTGATCCCCAGTTTGATGAAAAAAAAAATTGTGGTCAAGCAGATGACAAAACAAATTATTCTGAATCCAGATTTACCCCATACTTTATAGTGTTAAATTTTGAAAATGATAATTTGATTGATAGCGTCGAAAAACTAAAAAAAAAGTTTCTGACTCAGAAAAACAAACATATCCCCCACCCATTTTGAGGTTAAATCGTTGCTCCCTAACATGAATTTCCACTGTGACATTTTTTGATTTGTGAAATGTAATTTCTAAATGTTTAAATGCAATTTCTAACAGTCAATGACAAGTTCCGTTTCTCAATAAAACTACAAGTTACTAATCAACATATTACAAATCAAGAATGAAATCAAGTTGAAAACACCGGTTCTCGCCCGATCACCGAATTTAAGCAACGTCGAGCTCGGTTAGTACTTGGATGGGTGACCGCCTGGGAATAATGGATGTTGTAGACAATTCTTTTTATTTTACAAAGTTAGTCAAACTAAGTATTTTCCCCTTTCTACTGTTCTGTAAAGAATGTCATAGAGACGGCTTCTTAAACTGAGGCTATGTGTTGGATTTGGCCCGTCAGGACTGGTAAGTGATTTTTATTGTTTCCTTTCAGAACTTCTCTACTGGTTAGACCACTTTTGATTAGCTCAGTTAGTACCTGGATGGGTGACCGCCTGGGAATACCCGGTGTTGTAGACATTTCTTTTTTTTTTACTTATAATTTTTCACATTAGAAAAGTGAAGGAGTTTAAAGATTTTATTACTTGTGATTTTTATTGTTTCCTTTCAAAACTGCTCTACCGGTAAGGCCACTTTTGACACGTCTCTGTATTTCTTTCAAAGCTTCGGTTTATATCATGAAATAAGACTGCCCCTTTTTTACTGGACGAAATAATATTTCCCGCTTAAGTTCTGTCTGCATGATTTGCTCGTGAATTTCGTTTGACACAAAATTTCGGCGGATCCACACCCCGCTGTGCGATTTGTTTAGTGGACTTTTTTAAATTGAAATATACATTTTTGCTTCTTTTTTTAAACCTAAAGATTTTCTTATTGTATGTAAATTCTGTTGAGAAAATGAATGCTGAATATACGGCTTTCGTCGGCTCCTAACTTTATATATTAAAAATTTCAACAGTTCTGAGTCTACGAGCATATCACGTTAAGCGTTGTTTTCAATTAAGACTTGTTTGTATTATTTCGTTTGGGCTTGTATTATATTTGCCTTCGGGTTTATATGATCCGTTCATCCTATTTTGACTCCTCAAAATTCAAGAGTCTATCCTAAATTGAGGTAAATTATATGGCCTTCCAATACCGTTTTGATTCCTAACATCACTGAAGAGACATTAATTGTCGAAATCCGGATATGGTGTACAAACTTTTGCACCTCATGTTTGCGGTATACCATCTTTTCCGCAAGTTTATTGTTTTCTGTTTGGTAATAAATTAGTTATAAGATCTATTTTGTTGCATCTTGTGATCCGTTTATTTGGCAATCGCCAATGGCAGTCAGCAGGGTTTGAGAACATCAGTTGTTCGACTTGCAAGTCAAATGCGTTTTGTTAAAATATACCTTTTCACTCATTTGGTCTTTTGGAAAATGTTGTTTGTGCTGTATTTAGACCCCTCTACCAAGAAATTTGTTTTGCATGCACACGTATAAAAATTGCGTTTTTTATCCAACGCAATCATAGGTTTGAACGTTGTTTTCAATTTAGACTTGTTTATATTTTTTCGTTTGGGCTTGTATTATATTTACCTTCGGATTTATATGATCCGTTCATCCTAGTTTTACTCTTTCAAACTTCAAGAGTCTATCCTAAATTGAGGTAAATTATATGGCTTTCCAAATACCGTTTCGATTCCTAACATCACTGAAGAGACATTAATTGTCGAAATCCGGATATGGTGTACAAATTTTTGCACCTCATGTTTGCGGTATACCATCTTTTCCGCAAGTTTATTGTTTTCTGTTTGGTAATAAATTAGTTATAAGATCTATTTTGTTGCATCTTGTGATCCGTTTATTTGATAAATCGCCAATGGCAGTCAGCAAGGTTTAAGAACATCAGTTGTTCGATTTGCTAGTCAAATGCGTTTTGTTAAAATATACTTTTTCACTCATTTGGTCTTTTGGAAAATGTTGGTTGTGCTGTATTTAGACCCCTCTACCAAGAAATTTGTTTTGCATGCACACGTATAAAAATTGCGTTTTTTATCCAACGCAATCATAGGTTTGAACGTTGTTTTCAATTTAGACTTGTTTGTATTTTTTCGTTTGGGCTTGTATTATATTTGCCTTCGGGTTTATATGATCCGTTCATCCTATTTTGACTCTTTCAAAATTCAAGAGTCTATCCTAAATTGAGGTAAATTATATGGCCTTCCAAATACCGTTTCGATTCCTAACATCACTGAAGAGACATTCATGAATTATCGAAATCCGGATATGGTGTACAAATTTTTGCACCTCATCTTTGCGGTATATTATCTTTTCCGCAAGTTTATTGTTTTCTTTTTGGTAATAAATTAATAATAAGATATATTTTGTAACATCTTGTGATCCGTTTATTTGGCAATCGCCAATGGCAGTCAGCAGGGTTTAAGAACATCAGTTGTTCGACTTGCTAGTCAAATGCGTTTTGTTAAAATATACTTTTTCACTTATTTGGTCTTTTGGAAAATGTTGATGCCACTGCTGGTGGACGTTTCGTCCCCGAGGGTATCACCAGCCCATTAGTCAGCACTTCGGTGTTGACATGAATATCAATTATACAGTCATTTTTATAAAATTCCTGTTACAAAATTTTTAATTTTTCTAAAAAAAAAACTGGATTTTCTTATCCCAGGAATAGATTACCTTAGCCGTATTTGGCACAACTTTTTGGAATTTCGGGTCCTCAATGCTCTTAACTTTGTACTTGTTTGGCTTTATAACTATTTTGATCTGAGTGTCACTAATGAGTCTTGTGTAGACGAAACGCGCGTCTGGCGTAATAAATTATAATCCTGGTACCTTTGATAACTATTTACACCACTGGGTCGATGCCACTGCTGGTGGACGTTTCGTCCCCGAAGGTATCACCAGCCCAGTAGTCAGCACTTCGGTGTTGACATGAATATCAATTATATGGTCATTTTTATAAATTTCCTGTTACAAAACTTTGAATTTTTCTAAAAAAAAACTATGGATTTTCTTATCCCAGGAATAGATTACCTTAGCCATATTTGGCACAACTTTTTGGAATTTGGGGTCCTCAATGCTCTTAACTTTGCACTTGTTTGGCTTTATAATTTTTTTTATCTGAGCGTCACTAATGAGTCTTGTGTAGACGAAACGCGCGTCTGGCGTAATAAATTATAATCCTGGTACCTTTGATAACTATTTACACCACTGGGTCGATGCCACTGCTGGTGGACGTTTCGTCCCCGAAGGTATCACCAGCCCAGTAGTCAGCACTTCGGTGTTGACATGAATATCAATTATATGGTCATTTTTATAAATTTCCTGTTACAAAACTTTGAATTTTTCTAAAAAAAAACTATGGATTTTCTTATCCCAGGAATAGATTACCTTAGCCATATTTGGCACAACTTTTTGGAATTTGGGGTCCTCAATGCTCTTAACTTTGCACTTGTTTGGCTTTATAATTTTTTTTATCTGAGCGTCACTAATGAGTCTTGTGTAGACGAAACGCGCGTCTGGCGTAATAAATTATAATCCTGGTACCTCTGATAACTATTAACACCACTGGGTCGATGCCACTGCTGGTGGACGTACCGTCCCCGAGGGTATCACCAGCCCAGTAGTCAGCACTTCGGTGTTGACATGAATATCAATTATATGGTCATTTTTATAAATTTCCTGTTACAAAACTTTGAATTTTTCTAAAAAAAAAAT